GTGATGGACAAGCACATCCCCTCATCTCGCAACAGGCGTACCCTTAGATTGTGAAGATCCTGCGGGAGCTCACCTGAGTGTTCTTCTTGTCCATCTGCGGTCTGCAGATGTTTGGCGTTTATCGTTTATTCTACCGTACCGCTAAGTCGGGACATTCTGCGCATATCGGAGCTGCGGAGTCCGCCTCGATATTGAGTGATCGGTTGAACCTCAAACCACGTCGGTCGAGGAAGTGGTGCCTTATTGTCGTACCACTACTTCACAATAAATGTTATAAGAATGTTCGCAAGCGTATTTGCAGGTATGACCCATGTCTCCGACTAAATCCACTGCACCGTGTTTCAATGGATCATGTAGTGATGTTTATTCAAAGCGTATGATGCAAAAATCTGGAGAATTCCGAGGTGATAAATGCAGATCCCAAAGGGCTGGCATGTTTCCCAAGGCTCACTTTATACACATATGCTCAGTTTGAACATTGCTCATCTCCAAAATTTTCCGAGGCTGTTAAAGAGTTTAGTCGAGAGTTTTTGGCAAAAGTGCCTTTTGGGAGAACCCATTGCGCATTGCATATGATACCCTCCATATTTCTTCGACAATTTGCTCACAGCCGTACCACACTTTTGGTTAGGCTTATCTTTTATTTTTCATACTACATTTGTCTGGTCAATGCTGGTTAGGTCAATCTTTTATTTTTCATACTACATTTGTCTGGTCAATGCTGCCGATACCCATGATCTAAACTGACGTCGTGGTTGAGCTTTTATTAAAGACCGCATACAGGACAAATGAACTGACAAACATATCAATAGAGAAGTTTACTTCGAAACATGCATACATACACAGAAAAATAGACAAATAGACCATCTTCCTATTCATTTGATTAGAGTAACACTTATGAAAAATTAAATAACCTGCAACACTGAACATATAAATAATAGTGTTCAAATACGATCCACTACATGAATTACTTAACAGCAAACTAAACAAAATGCAAAAGATAAATATAACTAAAAGATTGAGAACACATGCTTATAAGATGCAAAAGATAAATATAACTAAAAGATTGAGAACACATGCTTATAAGATGCTTTAAGTGAGACGTCACAAAGCCTCGTTACCACTCCTCATCTTCATCTTCTTGAATACGTTTGATTTCCTGCATCTGCTAAAAAATAGCAAAATCATTGGTGCGCATGAAATTTGTTTGTGGGTAGGACAAGAACAGACCCTTTCAAAATCTTCATCCCCATCTGCAGTGTTGTCCTTACGATGGCGACTCATAAGCTGGTTGATCCGTGCCTAAACAATAGCTATATCAATGCAATTACCTACATAACCAGGGAATGTGGAATGCCAAAATCATCACAGAAACACTTCATTTATAAAATAGAAAGTGCGGTTATAACTGTGCAACGTTCTATATATGTAGAGAATAAAGTCTCTGAAGACAATCAAACCCGTTATCGAGATGCGCCACGTACTCAATATTCATTTGGAATCGTCAGGCGTTTGAATGCGTACGTGGCGTACATGCGCTGTCCAGTCAAAGTACAAGTCAATGCTTTTATCCTCCCAAACGAGTCTGGAACCAACTAGCCGACTCGAGAGGATAGGCTGCTTGGTTAGGGGGGATAGCCTACTTGGAGGCAAAAGGCGGTAATTTTCGAAGTGCTGTAAACTATGAATACCTGGCATTTACAGTTCACAACATATTCTAACACTGTTTTTTCAGAGGTCACTGTTTTTTTCAGAGGTCACCGACCGGCGAGATTTTAGATGCTGCCATCATCGAGCACGCTCCATTGGGACTAATTTTCGGTTGCCTCGGATCAAGCGCTGAGACATAAGGAGACATCAAAAATGATGAGCGAGCATGGTTCAGGAGGGAGGGGGAGGGACAAGTAAGGGATTCTGCTTATAGTTAGAGACAACGAAACAAATGCAAATGCAAAAGAGGAGCTGAAGAAGAGAACGAGCAGGATCCGTCTCGAATTAAACCACGAAGAGAAAAAAACACGACATATGGTCAGCAGATACCTTTTGCCGAGAAAAAAAAGCATTTTCAAAGGCTTCGGTTTCTTCTTGAATGGAAGAGCTCTCGGTGAAGCACCCGAGCACCTCAGCTGGGACTAACACATGAAATCTTCATACCGTTACTGATAATCGAACGAAAACGCCTCAAAAGGTCACAAGGACCACATAACTTGAGGTACGCATGGGAACTCGAGTTAAAATAAGGAGGAAGGTAGGGAGAGGAGGAGGGTGGCGTACTTCAGATGAGAAATGCTCAGCTATCCTCCAAGTCAGCATGGAAACCGGAGAATGTAGTTGGAATGTCGCAACGAAAAACTGTGACTTTAGAACCGCCTACCTCTGCCAGTAAAATAGACTTTGGACTGCCTGTGATGGATATTTTTCGTGTATTTGAGAACGTTTCAGGTTCAATCTGCAATGCATAAGAACAATTTGCATACAAGAATTTGTTCGCAAGAACAGACCGACTTCTGAAGCTTACATCAACACGAACATGATGTTTCCGCCTGATCTCACGTAAGTTAGCTCCATCTTTTCCTAAAACATTTTGCCCTATTTTAGTTCTGTAATAACCACAATTCCTGTGGTCGCTTTCTTTATTATCCTTTGTAAGAAAAACTTCACTGTAATGTAGGAAGTCAGATCTTTGTTTCCACGACTATGTTGCGCATTTGTTTGCTTTGTTGTTTTCTATCTCAATAAGTTTTTTTTTGTATTTGTTCACTCTCAAAATGTTCCCTCATGAAAAATGAGTGTAACGAGAGGAAAGATAAGAGAAAAGGTACTGGATACAATGATTCGAGGGATTTAAGTAATCAGCATGTCATTGCAAATCAGCAGCACCACATTCTCTCATTAGGGACTCTAACTAAAGCTCTATCTACTTCATGTAGTCCTGATAGCATAAGCAGAGCAAGAAAATCCCTAAGATTGAAGGAAAACACAACTGGCCTGGGGAAAAATAATCAAAAAAGAAAAACGTCGTCTTCATATGCTCTATGATAAATTACCCCCTCACAAAGCTACAAGAGAATGGGAATCAGATAAATTTCTTTGCTATAGATAACGGGCAATTGTGGATCTCCAAAATCTGAGCCGTACTAGTTCTATCACAATCGTAGGCGGACCCTACTAGATCACCATCCAGTATTAATTTTTGTCACTTTCTTAAGGCAGAAAAAATTGTTCATCGTAAAGATCTTACTCTAACGCCCCATTTTGGTATTTAGCACGTGTTTCAGCTAATAATGATAAGAAAGCTCTCCCTCTGTCTGAGCATTTTAGTGTTTTTTCTGCTAGTTTTCAGTAGAGCGCCCAGCAAAGAGGTCCAGAAGTTTCCAACAAACTTTACCAGATCCTCCCATTGGACTTCAACGTCTGGCCCCAAAAAGAGGACGAGGTGTCACAATACCCATTTCCCTCGCACCAAAAAATAAAAAATAAAAATCTTTCAAGATAGTATATATGTGACTACAACTTTAAACCATGAAGAAATTTGTACCCAAATTTAGATAAAATTGAGGCAAAACGCACCGATGATGTACCCAATTACGTGCGAAGGAACGCAAACACATTTTGTTGACACCGAGGTTTTCGAGTCAGAGATGAAGCTGTAAATCTCCATCTTCGCCTGCCTAATCTGAAACATGACCAGGATATGCGTTATTATATTTGAATCCATTGATTCTAATAACTTCGAACTAAAATTAATAGTCTCTTTTCACACTTACATTTTCCTCCGTTTCACCACGAATTTCCACAAAAGCGAATTCGCATTCCGGTGACGAGTTATTACTGTCTGCGGAAGTCCATTCCTCAACATCGTGACTACCTCGAATTCTGTTGGCTCTAAAAGACAAGAAGTTCATCGTTACCGTTGCAGCACCTGCATCTATGTTACGAGAACATTTTGGTAGACCTGACGGCCGTTCCTTGACCTTTCCTTACTCCACAGAAACTTAATTGAGTCACCGTATTTTCTTTCAAATTTCATTCCACACAGTTCATGGATGGGCTAATGGCTCGGAAAACGTTTATAGGTACATGCATGCATGACACTTACAATGCGTTGTTCTTGCCGTTCCGCCTACCATAGTGAAAGACTTTTATGAACGTCTGAAAAGAGACGGTTAGGTGTATTTACATATATCATCAACATTCATCTACTATTCTTTGCGGATAAAAAGAGAAACTGTTCAGAAACAACGTTTTACCATTCCTTTAATGCGACAATGCAAAATATATGCACAAAATAAGAAGGATATCGACGATATCTTACTTCACCATATTTCTCTGAAAGCCTGTCTTGTGCACGCTTGCTGGCCACCGCAATTCTCTCCTATGCTTAACTCTTTTATGGAGTAAACCTCTCCTATTCTGAATTCTTTCTTAAAGTTCAAGTCCAACCTTGGTTTCCCTTTCAACTGCTCGTATATTCGACCCTCCTCTTCCTAGAACAATTCCGACACTTCTTTGAGGGATCTTGATCATTTTCGAATGGTAGCGACCTGAAATTACGCTCCACCTTTGCAATAGCGGTCAAGTGCTCAGCTCCAATGAACAGGGCATCTTGAAATGGTAGGTTAGTTTTCAACGGTCTTCCGACGTGCACTGGGAAGTAGTGCAGTGGTAGAACATGAGCTCATATTTGCTCCTGATACCTGCTAGCCGATGGTTTGAATTTAAGACCGAGAGCAGACAGTTGAAGTTTTTCCTAATATAGCACACTTCGATTGATTTCTGTTAACTTCTATTTTATAAATGAGGCTACTTTCGGTACACCTGTTTCATGCAAATAGGGGTGCTGTGCTAAAGCGTGCACCAAAACAAAACGCTTTGAACAGAGTTACAAATTTTGGTCATACCTCCATCCACTCCCAGCAGGTACCAACCACCGCACACATCCCGCACCTGGCATTAAGAACAGACGCAAGCGTACAAGATGGATGCTTCTGTTGAAGAGTGCGAGCCTTTGGTGAGATGTTCTTTTGTTCTTTTCAGGCTTTTTTCATATAAACCAGGCAACATCTTTTGGCATACCATTTTTTTTGTTTGGTTCCTCCTGCAGGTCAAGTAGTAGTAGCGCTCCATTATATCATGGACGAAATACGTATATATGGTTATGGAGACTGTTTGATAAAGTCTACAGCTTGGATCTTCAGCAAAGAAACAAACTCACGCCTCTGGTATACATTCGCTTCGCTGTTCTCAACTTCTTTCACAGTTCCGCCGCACAAATACCGCAGTACCCTGCAAAACGTCACCAAAACTTCACCATTGGACAGAATTGTACTCCATGCTGTTATCCTTCCTGTACCCCACAATAAAGCCTCCCCAAGAGCTTTTCAGTGCTAAGAGTTGTATAATGTGGAGGTGAGGAACCATATATGTACGTAAACTTGTAAAAAAACACAAGCAGCTTTAACACTACGCATTGCGCTGGCTGGTGTGGTCCGTGCAACCATCTCATCCATAGTGCCTTATCACATTTATTCGACTAGTAAGTTAACCGACCGTTCTACCACCTAAACTGGCTCAGAACTCGCTCTCTACGCTTAACCGTAGGCGCTTTAAGCATCACGTCGATAGCACCATGAGAATGGCTGCTTTCATAGTCCACGACTTGGCCAAATCGTGAACTATGAAAGCAGCCAATGATGCAATGGCCATTGATCGAACCAACAAGCACCCCTACTTTCTCGGACCAAAAAAGACGTAATGCTTTTTTTTNTTTTTTTTCAAAATTGTCAGTCAACTAGTCAAATCTTTAGATTCACAACTAGTACCAACCGGCTGCCTACTTCATCTTTCGTTTCAGTTATTTGGCAAGTTTCTACGCTCACACGAAGTGGAACAACAAAGGCAAGAATTTTTCTTTGTCAGAGTTTTCCCTTTGATGTTCAATCATAGGTGATTTACTGATACCTTGCACTGCAATATGGAATAGAACCAGTGAAGCGCTACCACAGGCCTGTTCGAGCTCCCGGACCACTGTCCCCTCCGGATCGGCTATTCGATACGAATTCGTCGTGGTGGATAAAGCAGATATGTTTTGCAAGTGCAACTTTTGCAAACTGCTATTTTGCACATTCACCTTTTGGCTATAGGTAGTCTGCTCGCACCAAGTTAGCTCAAAAGTAATGGTTAGGACTGCTTACAACTGTCGATCACAACTGCATCTAGTACATAGCTCTCTGCACCTCTCTGCGTGAGATTAAAACCAAAAGATTGGTCTGTAAGTGCTAATCGAAGTTAGAGACTAAAAGAAACATAGGCCAGTCTATAGTGGCTTATACCACCAGGGAAAGTAAGAAGAAGGAACCGTGTGAGATTTTGAAAAAAAGGATTTCTACACGACAGCCGTTGCTGAATTTCTTCATAGCCAATTTCATCACGAACCTATCGATATATGGCAAACCAGAATAGAAATGCATACCCCAATCAGAAGTCAGTTCAAATTTTTTTTAATAGACGCGCTGCCTTTACTGGTGCATCCTCCATAGGAAGTATCTATCGACCCTTGATTCAGAGAATATCACAAGCCACCATTCGAGTCAAAGATAAAATGGCATTCACTGTCACTTCTATATAGATTCTTTTTCTCGTACTGACATGAAGGTCAACAACTAGATCGTCTGTCACTCTTCAATTTCCATATCTTTTATTCCGAATTATTAAAAGCACTCACTTCAATATGGAAAAGAACGCAACTATCGAAAGACCTGATCCAACGAAAATTCGGGAAAGCGTCGTCATACCTCACGATAGAAGCCTATTCTTTTCCGATGCCCTGAAAAAATTTCGATAATTAGTGTTGCAAATTAAAAGTGGAATAAAAAGGAAGACGGACAAACGTATCGTAGATAGATATGACCAATGGCAAAAGTTTTCTAGATGCAATACACTAGAGAAAACTCAATATTTTTCATGAAACAAAGTATTAGGTTGATGCATAATTATTACGAATTTTTTCGCGGCTTTTTTTCTCTCGATAGAATTTGGATATTGAGTTTGGGTTTTTTCTAGAAATGATCTACTTGATTTCCTCTACAAGAATATACTCAAGAAACCATCCGCATATTCGCGAAATTAGGCTTAACTACTTCGAGAAAAATAGGAAGGTGGCGCAGTCATTCCGCGATCTCAATAACTTTTAGGCGATCGAACAATCAGCCAGAGCCAACCAAGAAATGGGATCTGCCCCTAAATCTCCATATTCACCAGCAGAAACTTTTATGGATTATCTCGTCACCCGTTCATCGAAGAAATGGCTAGAGAATAGAAGTTACGTCGATTTGGATGACTTGATGGCCGATGTCAAGGCGTGGATCGCCCGTAAGGATCGAAAATTCTTCGCTTTT